ATACAAAAAAAAAAAGTTGCTAATGTCCGCCCCTAAATTTAAAGATTATGTTGAGAGGGTTCTGGAAAAATTTTTTTTTTTTTNTCTTGCAAGCCTGACCACCTTGCAAAAATCTTTTCTCAAGGAGGGTGATGTAATGGCATCGCTAACAATACGGCAGCGTTATTCAGCGCCGTCTTAATGTTGGTAGCCCTGTTGGAACACACGTTGCACAGGTACATAAAACCGAGTGAAAAAACGAATGTTAATTCAATTCGATAAATGCCATCAGCTTAGCCGGTTGTGCCAAAATTTGTGAAATAAAATAAATTAAAAAGTTAAGTTGTAACCCAACCAAATACTCGTGTCTTTATTCAAGCGAAGTAGTTTTCGGTCGTGAACAATTAAATACAAACAATTCTTTTTTTTATCTACAAATCAACCGTATGAAAAATACGGAGAGCGCTACCCCACAAGAAAAAGTAGCCTGCAGCAGAACCACCAGACCAGTAGCAGCAGAAATTAAGGGACCGCAAAAACTACCGGTGCCCTTCAACGAAGGCCCAAGGAGTTTGGAAGCTTTACTCCAGCAAGTTCCCGGTAAGATAATTGAGTTAACTTTAATGAGCGGGCTGAGGGCCCAACATGGTAATAATATTCCACCTTAAGTAGAGCTACAAAAAAAATGGCTTCATTTGGCCATCTTCAAGCTTTGTGGGCGATAAAAATGTTCAATTTAGAGTTTTTGGGCTGAGAATCATGTTGCACTTTTTTGCATTTTTTGAATAATGGGATTTTTTTTATAAAACTTCCACGTGTGTTTTGCCATGCTTTTCGTTGTTTGAAGCAGATGCAAAAAAAAACTGCTCTTTTAAATATTTTGTGCGTAATATTATTAGAGGGAGCAAATCCGCAAAATAAAACAACTAATAATAGATTGGCGGTTACACATATGGTAGTGTTTCGCCGAGCTTCTCCTCCGATTTGTGGCGTGCGCCTTGATGTTGTCACACAAAGCGAAGGGACCTACAGTTTTACGCCGACTCCGAACGGCGATTGTATTTTTTTGAGAAGCTGTTTTTCATGGCAGAAATACACTCGGAGGTTTGCCATTGCCTGCCGAGGGACGACCGCCGTTAAGAAAAAAACTTTTTCTATATTTTTTGCGATGTTGCTTTGATCAGGGCTTGAACCCAGGCGTTGCAGAGTGGAAGCGCGCACTGCTTACCACTACACAACAGCGGCCGACATAACAACTACATAAAGGAAATAGCAAGAATGATATGCAACTACGTAGGCGAAAAATGCATTTTCGCATTTGGGCGGCTCGACCCTATTAAGCTAGCATTTCAGGGTACTATTTTATATATATATAAGGAAATTTTGAAAGTTAGGGGGGGCGGCTCGAGCACCCCCCTGCCCCTACCTGGCTACGCCCATGGAAATACACCTTGTAGTCATAAAGTGGGCGGTGTCACGCAGTATTATTTATTGTTACGAGATTGTTGTAAGTATTAACTTGGAGTAAATTAGCGTCTTCAATTATTGAAATATCAGAGTTTCCGTATTTCTGAAATTTACCGTTAGACATACGGGAAGCGAATGTAATTTTGGTCCGATTTGAATAATTTTCAACGAATTGCTTTTCCGTACCAGGTTTATTAAATGCACCGAGTTTGGTAGAAATTGATAAATCGGTTACCGAGTTACACATTTGTGGTCATAAGTGGGCGGCGCCATGCCCATTATCCAAAAATGTATCATAATCTAATTTTCTGCTGAGTGGTTATCGCGATCATCGATTTTAAGTGAATTAGATTTTCAACAGATTTCTTAGATAGACCCTAAATAAGGCTCGTACCGAGTTTGGTGAATGGGCTACTGAGATACAGCATTTCATAATAGGTGGGCGGGGTCACGCCCATTTTACAAAAATTTCACAATAAAAAATTTTTCAAAAATTCTACTTCGCATACTAATTTTGAACAATTTGCATCCAATATTTACTGAAATATCGTAGTTTTTGCATCTTTAGGAAATACCTTTATATCGGAAATGGGCGTGGTTACATTCCGATTCGCCCATTTTTAATAATTTACCTTGGATAAATGGAAACCTACATACCAAATTTCGTTGAGATATCTCGAGTTATCGTGTACACGGACAGACGTGTATATATATATTTTTGAGTTATTTGGACTTAGCACATTTGCGTACCAATGCATAACAACATGTAAAAACGACATTACGGTAATTTTCTTTTTTGGTAATGATATATTTTCAGTTATGCTATCTTACTGCATCAAAATCTCAATTTACATAAAAAGTGGACTTAGCACGTTTGCGAACTAAGCCAACGATATAGCAAAAACTAAACAAATTTTTTAAACACAAATTTTTTCCGCTAACGTAGGGCTGCCAGGTGTCCTGGTTTTCCAGGATTTGTCCTGATTTAAACAAGTTGTCCTGGTGTCCTGGTCTACACTTAAATTTTCCTGTTTTTTTAATGAAGGTCAATGCAGACTCCCATCTAATTTTTAGCAGATTTTTGCTTTGAAAAAAGTTAAGCATTCTGTCATTATTAGTCGAAAATCAATAATGAAAAATTTTTTCTAACATGTTGAACAATATCTAACGCAGTAGATAATTTAAGGAGTTGAAATCTCTTCCAAAAGGCCTTACTGAAAGTCATTCCTTTCTCCTTCCTTTTTTGTATGGAGTGACACAAATTGAAGGGCTTCTGCTTTCGCTACTCCAAGAAGAGCTTCCAATAGGGCTGTTGTAGGACGTACTTCTGAAGGTCTTTTGAATAAGTTCTTTTAAAGCTGTTTTTAGTTCATAAAAGTTATACTTCTTTAAGGAATTTAAATATTTAAGGTTCAGATCAAATATGTTTTATAGAGACTTAAAATGCTTATTGAATCCTATTTGTAATTCTCAATAATATAAATAAATATTTACATTCGCGTAAATTGTAAATAGGAAACCCCTTTCTAGGAAGCATTCAGGGAAGCACTTTTTTCAGTCCTTATTGGGTAAGTCTTTTAGAATGGCTTCACTTCAGACAGCCTACCTGAATTATNACTTTAAAATTCGGTCGCCATATTGCATCCGCAATTTTAAATTCCAAAAATCTTACATCAGATTCGAAATCAGTGACCTTGAAAACCCCGCTTATGTATAAGTTATTGATGAAAGGGAAAGGAGTATAAAATTTGGTCGCCATACTGGATCCGCCAATTTGAATTTCGAAAATCTGACATTATATTCGAAATCAGCTACCTCAAAAACCCCCAAACATTAAGTTTTAAATCAATTTGGTTACTTCTCGACTTTTGGCCGGCAAATGATAGTCGCCAGACCATAGTGCATTGGTCTGAAAAGACTTATGGCGTTTTCGTTTCTACAAAAAATTTCGCCTCTTAATTGCCCGGTTTTTAGTGTTTTGGCTTAGAAAGCAATGAGAAGGTAGAATTTTTCGGCAGAAAAGAAAACGCAATTAATATTAAAATGTATAATCCAACAAAATCAAAAGTAACAAGTAAGAAAGTCTAAGTTCGAGCGGAGCCGAACATTAAATACCCGGCGCAGGTACTAAGTATATGATTTTCACCTTTCCGAAACTTACCGCTAGATGGTAAGCCGGGGTGTATCAATTTTGAGTAAATTAGCGTCCTTAAATTTCGAAATATTGCAGTTTCAAGCATTTCTGAAATTTACCGTTATATGAAAAGCGGCCGTAATTTTAGTCCGATTTCAACAATTTTCAACGGTTTTCTTTTATGTAGCAAGCACAATAACCATACAAGTTTGGTACAAATTGGTAGAACGGTTACCGAGATACATATATGTGATCATAAGTGGGCGGTGCCACGCCCATTTTCCAAAACTTTTATCATAAACGTATTTCCTGGTAAATAAT